TATAAGAAAATACTCTAGCATGAAAATACAATCGTCTATCCAAAATCTTAAGCATTTATCTCTTTACTTTTAATGATTAAGATTTATTCATATTAATTAAAAATAATTATATTTTATTTAAAAAATCATGATAAATTTTAGTTATTAGAAGTAGAAAGATACATGGTTAAAATTTTATATAAATGTAATATATAAAATTTGTGTATAGATGAATCCCTATATATATATACTGATCTTGAAGCAGTGGACCAAGAATCAGGTGCTTATTTCCATTAACCCTTCATTTTTTTTAATGGCTTATGTTCTCCTCCTATGTCTATACAAGGACCTAAGTTGATAGCAAATATTCATCCAAGAGAGCAAAGCAAAACAATCAACTGTATTTAAGTTTCAAGTGAGAAATGTATACCTTCGGCGGCATGGGACATGGCGCTGGCTTGGGGCAACGGTGTCAACAACAATGGAGCCAATAACTTTGGCATTGGTTTTGGAAGCCAAAACTATGGCCAAAGTTCTGGATCTAACCATGTCAATGGTGGAATGTGGAGTGTTAGTGGTGCTTATGGTGGCCATATCAACGTTGGCCCTGGTGCTAGAGGAGTCCATTCCGGCTTTGCCACTGTAAGTGTCAATACTTTGAATGGACAAGCCAACTTGTGGTCAGGATAAAGGCCTCCTTATTTAGAGTAGTATGTTTGTTGCCTAAATATATAGCAGAAGAAATTGATGGTGGTATGTAAGTCCTAATTCTACAAGATATAAATAAATTAATTATGTTGCCTTGTTATATTAGGCAAATTATATGGGTTTTTATCAGCAAATAAAAATAATATTTTAGTAATATTCCTTTAACTCGTTTTTTTTTTAATAGCAAAAATTTTATTAAAGTGGGGTACAAGAGGTACTCCCAACTCATAAACATCAATTGCTTCCTTTTCCTACTGTGGACAACTTAGAAAACATAGACTTTGTGGAATCGTTAAATGAAACACCAGCCATTAAAACTCAGAAAAGATCCCCTCCATCAAAAAACTTGTCATAGTTGCAAGGCTTTGATGTAGTCCTTTAGATTCAATTGCCACTTTGGAAATGAAAAGCACAAAACTTTGTTCTGCTTCTGATCCATTGATATGATCTCATTTGTACCATTTCTAGGAGCCCATTTTCCTCCACGTCTAAATCCTTGAAAATCAGCCCATTCCTATGCAACCATAGAGACCAGATGATAGCAAACCAAAGTACATCTCATGCTTTCCTCTCCTCTTTTGTTCCTCCAAATAGATAATGTTGGTGAAACACATTTTGCATGAATTATGTAGCACATAAGAAATATTCCACCATTGAAAGCATCCCATCCATAATTTCCTTGCAACTTTGCACTTAATGAATAGATGATCATAGCTCTCATCCTCCAAATTACAAACAATACATGAACCAGAGTTACCTCTTATCGTAATGCCTTTACTCAAATTTTTCTTTGTTGGAATCCTGTTTTGTAGCAATTGCCAAGAGAACCCACAAACTTTCAGTGGAACCAAAGCATTCCAAGTTTTCTTAAAGAAGCATGTTTCCTTGACACTCTTAGTTGGCTGCAGGAAGTTGTTCACATCTTTCACTTTATATTTGCCTTCCTTATCATAATGCCATTTCCATTTGTCTTCTTTTTTCTCCATTGGTTGTACATGTTCTAGCATCTTTAGCAAGGCTTCTTTTGATTCTTTTTTCCATTTGTAAAGTTGTCTTCTCCAAAAGAAAGTCCATCTCCATTTGCCATTCGACCAAGTGGCCATGCCATGAATTGAATTGTTCTTTCTTGTAGATAAAGGAAAAAGTCTAGGAAATATTTTCATTAGCTCCTGCTCCCTTACCCAGACATCCTTCCAAAAACTAGTTCTTTCCCCCTCACCTATCACCCTCTTAAACCCCCTGCCTAACCACTCTTTCTTATGAAGGCACCCATTATTAATGTTGCATATGTCTTGCCACCAAGTCGACCTTGCTCTTTTACTTTGACAAAGCCATTTCATCCAATCTCCCTCATTATCCCCATATTTTTCTCTCAGCACACTCTTCCATAGTTCATTACCCCTTACCAACAACCTATTCCACCATTTTCCTAACAATGCTAAATTAAACCATCTCAAGTTTTTTATACCTAGCCCACCCTCATTCTTATCTCTACACACATTTTCCCAACACACCCATGCCACTTTCTTCTTATTCTCACTTCCCCCTATAAGAATCTCCTACAAATTGTATCTATTTCCTCAATGACCCATCTAGGAATTTTGTACATTGATAAGAGAAACATGGGTAAGCTTGAAAGCACAGATTTAATAAGAGCTATTCTACCTCCAAAGGACAAGAACTGACCATTCCACAATGACAACCTATTTCTACATCTCTCCATCAGTGGGTGCCATATAGCCAACCTTCTCTGATTATCACCGACTGGTATACCCAAGTATTTAAGAGGAAACTCCCCCACAATGCAGTTTAGCAAGTATGCCATTATTTCCCTCCAATCCTTTTCGACATTCACTCTAAGTAACTGGCTCTTGCTATAATTGATTTTAAGTCCCAAAACAAGCTCAAAGGTTCTCATAATAGTTTTGACTACCCACACATTCCTCTTAGTTGCATCCCCAATTATCACAGCATCATCCACAAATTGCAAATTAGAAACAATCAAGCCCTTACTTCCAATTGATACACCCTTGAACATATTTTTCTGTTTTGTACTTGAAATTATCCCATTCAAGTCCTCAGCAACTAAAAGGAATGGAAAGGGTGATAATGGGTCTCCTTGGCGTAAACCATGGCTCATTCCAAACTCCATAGTAGCACTCCCATTCACTAGTACAAACACCATACTTATCTTTAGGCATTCACGGATCCATAAATTCCAAGTCTCACAAAAACCCATTTTGTTTGGCATGTATTCCAAAAAACTCCAATAGACATTATCATAAGTCTTCTCAAAATCAACCTTAAAAATGATATAGCTCTTTCATCTTCTTTTCACCTCTTCAACAACTTCATTGGTGATGTCTCGCCCCAAAATTAATACCCTTCGGCTAAACGGTTGTTGTAGCATAGCTTTAGGTGTCGAATCCACAGGAAAACTATATTAAATCAACAAAAAGAATTGTCATAATAGAAAATTAAATTAAAAGATGAATTCTAAAATTAAAAATAAAAATATTTAAATAAAAGATGATAATTATAATAGATTGAAAACAATAGTATGATGAACAAGACTTCAGGATTCACTTAATTAATTTGTTTAACTGTTATAAATTTTGATTCATATTTATTACTCAATTACATGTTTCACACCCAAACAAACAATCAGAAGATTTAACTGTGAAGACCAATAATAATAACTAATGTATTTATTTTAAGAGAAATTAATTTCAATGAAGAACAAACTGATTTATCATTACGAGCTATCTGAGAGCGACAATATATCTAATCGACAATACTGTAGTAAAGGATCAACCCGCAAAACAAATCAATCAATCAATTATATTATAACAAATTACACATAAAAAGAGCATGACTAATCTTATATGAAATTTGATAAATATAATTTTTAGGGTTTTCAAATCTGAAAAATAATTAATAATCTCTCAAAAATAAAATTAAACAATAAAATCCATGAAGGAATCAAAATAAAATAACAAATCAAACTCCTCAATTAAAATCCTCCCTAGTCTTGTTGAAAGTTTAATTACCCTGGGACATAAATCTCTATCCTTGGAAAAGAAGAAAATAGAAGTCTAGGAACTGTTTCTCTAGATGCTAAACCTAGATTTCAAAACCCCTATTTATATTAGGAATAAAATAGGAGTGTTTGGTAACTAGGATAGTAGCCCTAGGGAATTAATTTTATTTTTTCTTTCTTCCCACACAATTGGTCAAACAGGGGTTGGAACCTGCTTCAGGGTGCAGAACCCCTAATGTTTCTATTTTGTGCCACATTGATCAAGGGTCGGAACCTACTTCAGGTTGCGAAACCCCTGATACTATTGGAATTCCTTTTGCGCTGGACACAACGACTTCACAAACGGCACAGCAAATTCATGGACACGAACTTTGCTCTAAATCAAATATGTAGAAATTGCACTTTAGCCTTCAAAGTTCCAAATTCATCCTTGGATCCTCATCTTTCCATCTTTTTGCATTGAAGTCCTTTTCTTCTAATTCTTCTCCATTTAACATCAAACCTTTAATCATCACAAAATTTGCACAATATGAATAAAATGAACATTTATGAAATTACTTATAAAAAAAATAAAACTCTTAAACCCATAATTCCACAAATGTTAATGATTAAGCATACTTTAAATATACATTTTCATGCTTTCATCAATTGGCAATCAGAACCACATCCATCAACTGTCTATACCCAACAAAAGCAGATTGCTTTTCACCAATGATGTTACCCAAAATCCTTTTTAGATGGTTTACAAGCAACTTAACAATAATCTTGTACATGCTACCTATCAATGAGATAGGCCTAAAGTCTTCGATTTTCTGGGGATTCTCTTTTTTAGGAATCATTACAATAAAAGCAACATTCGACCCTTTTACCATTCTGCCATTAACTTGGAACTCTGTCACAAAATTCAATATCTCCTTCTTGATTTCGTTCCACATGGCTTTTAAAAAGCCAAAATGAAAACCATCTGGCCCTAGAGATTTATTACTGTCACATTCCCATATAGTTTGCTTTACCTCTTCCTCAATAAATGGTGCCACCAGCATTTGATTGTCTTCTGTGGATATTTGTTTAAAAGGGATCCCTTCCAAGGTCAGCCTAACCCATCCTTAGTAAATAATTCTTCAAAGTATGCAACAATCCCCTCCTTCATCTCATCCACCTCAATTAGCTCTCGTCCTTTTACAACTAAACAATGAATTTCATTCCGCCTCCATCTCGCCTTAATACTATTATGAAAAAATCTGGTGTTAGAGTCACCTTCTTTGATCCAATTTTTTCTAAACTTCTGTTTAAC